TGTTTACAAAATAGTTTATGTCTGAATATTGATTGTTTGGGTAGTCTTTGACATAAATCGACTAATTCTGTTTATTTTTTTTTAATCGGGATTTTGTATGGGTTTTTGTCTTCAATCAATTTCAACATGGGCATTTTTAACAAATTGCACCGATGGGCCCCTAGTAATATAACAAAGAACAGACTGTAAGGTGTTTCCTCAAAAAAAAAAATAATTTTTTAATACACTTATATTTACATATATATTATATGTAGGAAAACTTTATTTATTGTATTTTAATATGAAAATAAACTCAAAATTTTATAGTTGATCAATACTAATGGGCCCTTCCCACTACGAAAATTGCACCGAGTACTTTGAAGTCTTAAAAATGCATGATTTCAACTATTCATAATATCTTGCCTTTGGAATAGCATCTAAACTTTCCCAGTATGTGATATTGGGCATTTCTTTGGATAATTTTTCATCCATTGTTAAATTACTTTAAAAATCACTGTTTTCTGGTGACACAGCTGATACATGCTTCCTCTGGTTTAACCTACAAGATGTGTGACTAAAAATGAAAAATATAAAGAAGTTGTTATTGGCATTAATGCAAGCAAACACTTTAACCCTATCGGCACAGGTACCCTTTACTGCGCGTGATATATGGTTTTAGTGTCTTACATTCAAAATTTTATCAAACTACTTTTTGTTTATGTTATACCAATTAGAATAGCATAAAATCTTAGCTAAGAATCCATATTTTAATAGTATACAAGTTTTAAGTTCTTAATTCTACAAAGAAATATATTAAAAAATCCTAAATTTCCACTAGTTTAACACACATGATACATTTTGTTTTAGCATATCATCATCCCTATTTTATCCATCACACCTCAAAAATGTGTGAAATTAAATGTAAATTGCTCTCTATAAAATCATTATTGCTCAAAGAGACCATAATTTTTATAACCTTCAATATTATTTTGTTTTGTTACAGAGCTATCAAAGAGAAAATCAGACCCCTCCTGCCACACCCACCTGTCACATCCTCTCTTTCACAATTCGTTGATAGTTCTCTCTTACGTTTCATTATATATTATTTATAACCAATAGAAAGTCAAAGTTTTCATCTATCAAATGGGGTATTGTATAACATTGTGTTTTGAACAGATAACCATCAATGTCACTCTGAGTAGCAACATCATTCCAGTGGGAAAGTTAAAAACTAGCTTGGATGAATTTCTAACAGCTCTTTTCCCATAGTTAGAAAGCTAGGAAAATTTTTAGAAGTAAATTTGTCTACTTTTTGCATGCTATTAGTTTATATTCTTTGGTGTATTATTTAATTAAATAAAAATTGTTAAGTGCTTTACTATAATCACTAAAATAAAAATGAGGCTTAACTCTGATCGACAATCAAGGGCAAGAAAAAGGAAGATTGGGTAAGCACTTTATTTCTTGTTTTTCATATTTATTCTTTATTTATTATTATAAAAGTAACTAAAATTAAAAGTACGGATCTTTTTAAGTTATTTAAGACTAGAATAGGTAAAATAAGTAATAATAATAACAATATAATTAAAATTGTTCATGAAGCACGCACACGAGCAGCTCGTGGGTAATGTAATTCGACAGCGTAACGTGAGCTGCATGTTCCCCGAGTAATTTACAACTTAAAATGGTGCGAATATCAGTTAAACACGGTTCAAAGAGCAATAAAACAATAAAATTTAATTATAAATAGACGTATAATGTTACGAACGT